CTTTGTTCCGTGTATCCCTTTTTTCAGCTGACTTCTGCTGTCTAAAGAGGCTCTACAGCTCTGTAAACTAAGCGGCGACATTAATACAAGGAAAATATCTTCCTTTTCCTTCAGGAAAAGAATTCCCCCCTTTTAAAAAATCTACGAGGCGAATTTCCTATATCTCGGTCCATCGTATACCACCCCACCAGCACAGGAATTGGGGTTGCTTCAGGTGACTTTAGCAAGCCAGCCAAGCTGCATTCTGGAACCAAAGACACGCTTGGGGACAACCGGAGAAAACTCTTGCAAAGGCGAAGTTTTGGGGTGATCTCTTGGGGCTCCCCTTACCTTGTAAACCCGGAAACGGGAAAGAAATGGGAAGGACCGACGCCAGGCCTCAAAACGCTGCATCCTGGCTGAGCAGGTAACACAGAAGAGCGGAGCTGGGACCTCAAGAGGTCTTCTAGTCCAACCCGCTGTTCAAGCAGAAGACCCTAGACCATTCCAGGCAAAATGGATTATCCAATCTCTTTCTTTCAAAAAAAAAAAAACCCTCCAGGGATGGAGCACCCAAAACTCCTAGTAGCAAGTAGTTCCACGGACCAATTGTCCTCTCTGTCAGGAAGTTCTTTCCTTATTTCTAGGTTGCTTCGCTCCTTGTTTGGTTTCCATTCGTTGCTTCTTGTCCTGCCTTTGGGCGATTGGGAGACGTTGATCTCTGCTACCCAACCAGCCTCTTGTCCGTCTCCGTTCTGGATTCGAGTGGCGCAGCCAAAGAGAGACAGGGACGCTTAGGGAAAACTGCAGGCCAAATCCTCAAAACTTTTTTTTAAAAGATTCAGTAAATCTCCCCAAAGGCAAAAATCCGACCATCGTCCAGTGCTGGTTTCCTTAGAGATAACCAGAAGATCCCATTTTGGCACACAAGATCCCAAATTCCCTGGCCAGGATCCCCGTCTTCCATCCTAAGCGCCGGAAAAACCCGGATCCATCAGCAAACGGATTCCCTTGTCAATCAGATTTGAGCTGGAAGGGTTCTGGGGAGGTCTTCTAGTCTAACCCGGTGCTGCTTGAGCAGGAGAGAATCTATGCTGTGTTTCAGACAAACGGCTGCCCAATCTCTTCTTAAAACCCTCCAGCGATGGAGAAGCCACAACTTCCGGTGGCAAGTAGTTCTGCTGGTTAATTGTCTTCGTTCTTAAGAAGTTTCTCCTGAATTCCAGGTTGCTTCTCTCCTCGGTTAGTTTCCACCCGTTGCTTTTTTTGTCTTGCCTTCTGGTGCTTTGGGAGAATAATTCGACGCCCTCCTCTTCTTTGGGGCTTGGCCTCTCAGACTAACAAGAGTTGGAAAGGGAACTCGGAGGTCTTCTAGTCCAACCCCGCTCCTCAAGCAAGAGACCTTATATCATTATGGACAAACAGCTGTTTTAATTTCCTCTTCAAAACCTCTGGGGATGGAGCAGCCACAACTTCTGGTGGCAAGCAGTTCTGCTGGTTAATTGTCCTCGCTCTTAGGAAGCGGCTCCTTCACGCCTAGAAAATTCCAAGAGGTTGTTGGACAACCCTTGTGGTTCCTCTCCTCGGTTACAATTTCCATCCATCCCTTATCGCCTTGCCTTCTCGCCTCCGTCTTCTTCAACTTTTCCACCACCAAGAGATTTCGAGACAAAAAAACACTCCAAAGCTGCCGTCCAAATTCTCCGGCCACTTTTTCTTCCTACTTGCCCCCCTCAAATCCCCGCCTTGCAAAACCTCCCCTTGCAAGCACTCACAGGACCTGGTGTGTGTGCGTGTGTGTGTGTAAAATGGGGCGATAATAACCCGCTGTTCCCAGCTCTGTCCCCGTTTGCAACTTTTCCCCCGAGCGAAGAGATTCTTGCAACCGGGTGAAGACGAGAAAGAAAGAGAAAAATTAATAATAATCATCTTGTTTGTGCTTTCGCAGCGGGGACTTTTGGCGTGCCAAGCAGGCGTGTCCTTCGTCCTTTCCCCTCCCCTCTGGTCACAGTCCTCGGAGGGGGGGGGGGGGGGGGGGGAAGGCCCCTCTCCCCCCCCCCCCCCCCATATCGGCCAGCCTGCAAAACAGACCGCTTGGTATTTGCCCGGGAATGCACGGTTGGGGTGGCTGCCAAGAGGTCGCAATTAAAAAAAAAAAAAACGGGTCTGGACAGACAATTTCCTGTGTGAGGCTCCGAGAGGGAATGTTTTGTTTTGAGGGGTTTTTTTTGCAAAAAATAAAACAACACAAAAAAACCAGGCTTCCCCGGCGATTTCCACCCTGCAAAACGTGGAGAAGGGGAAGTTAAGTATATACCTAACTACGTATATACTTATACCGATTATCTTGTAAGCGGTCGACGTATCAAATCCATCGAAATCGTTTTAAACAAGCACGACACGACAAACAAACGGAGGGAAAACGGAGTCTGTAAATCTATTTTCCTCGATAAAGATGAAGTCCTTTCCCCTGGGGAGCGGAGCCAGACGAAGGCGGAGCAATGCCGGACAGAAGGGACTGGAAAAAGCCACCGCACACTTTCGGCCCCGGGGTGGGGGGAAAGGATGAGACGGAGAGGCCAAAACATCGTCTCTGCTGCCAAGATTCCCAGGGGCCAAGGAGGCATACAGGTTTGGCCAAAACTTTCTAGAAAATTTAAAAGAGGTCGGACGAGCCTTGTGAATCCAGGACGGCTGGGGTTAAGTTAAGGCTGGTGGGTTGGGCTGGATGACCTCTAGAGGACCCCTTTCCCAGCCTTACGTTCTTTTTTTTCCCCAAGTTTAGTTTGCAAATCCCACCCGGTCTTGGGCACTGAATCAGAATAGAGCTGGAAGGAGGGAGGGAACTTTGGAGGTCTTCTAGTCCAACCCCTCCTGGCTCAGGCAGGAAATCCTGTACGATTTGAGACAGGCGGCTGCCCAGTCTCTTCTTAAAAAAAACCTCCACAACTTCTGGTGGCAAGCTGTTCCACTGGTTAATTGTTCCGACTGGAAGGAAGTTCCTCCTTAATTCCAGGTTGCTTCTCTCTCCTTGATGAGTTTCCACCCATTTTTGCTTGTCTTGCCCTCTTGGTGTATTAAAACCTGGTGGCACACGACGGGTTAACGGACAGCTCTACTATAGTTAGTCCAAATTTCTCTCCTGGATGTAGGAGTAAGAGTATAGAATAGAATGCAGAATAGAATATAGAATAGTATATGTAAGAGAAGATAAATAATACAAAAGATAGAGTGAAAGAAGAGAAAATAGAAGATGATATAGAATAGGATAAGAGTTGGAAGGGACCTTCGAGGTCTTCTAGTCCAGCCCCGGCTCAGACAAGAAACCCAATACCATATTTCAGACAAATGGTTGTCCAGTTTCTTCTGAAAAACTCCCCAGCGTTGGAGCATTCACAATTTCTGGATGCAAAATTTGCTGGGTTGCCTAACCATTGTCCTCTGTGAATTGTCCGCAAACTATGTTAATGTATAAATTAAAAAATAATAATAATTGGAAATCGGTAATTTATCTATCAGCTTTTTTTTTTTGCTTCCCAGCGTTGAAAAAAGTAGCAGGATCACCCTTGAAATATTTATCCTTTCATGAACATCATGACCTGGAAGGTTTTAAAAAGTTGCTGGTGACTTTTTATGTTGTACTAGCTGAATACCCATGCTTCACCACGAAACTATGTTCTCGGGCTTAGTTTTTTGGGGGAGGAAAATAAGGGGGGCGGGAATTCTGCCTCTGCCTACCAGCATCCATTGGGATTCCTCTAGCTAGAGTCCTGTCAGTGTGTGAGAGAGTTGAGGGCTGTTTGGAAATTGAAACCATATTTGCCGTGTGAGCAAGGAGACAGCAAGGAGCCTGGGCGGGGCTTAGCTCGACTGTTCTGTACTAAAAAGTGCTTGGGGGCTGCTGTGAAACTGAAACTCCTCTCCTCTGTTTGTGTTTTGCCTTTGGAACAGATTTCTTTTCAGGTGGGGAGGGGGAGTAGAACTCCTTAGCATCAGAGCGTGTTAATAATAATAATAATATAAAACAATAATAATATATAATAATATATAAGAAAAAGAAAAAAGAAAAGGAAGGAGAAGAAGAAGGAGGAGGAGGAGGAGGAAGAAAGGAGGAGAAGGAGAACTGGTGGTGTTGGAGGAGGAGGAGGAGGAGAAGAAAAGGGAGGAGGAGGAGGAGGAGGAGAAGGAGGAGGAGGAGAAGAAGAAAAGGAAGGAGGAAGAAGAGGAGGAGAAGGAGAAGGAGAAGGAGAAGGAGAAGAAGAAGAAGAAGAAGAAGAAGAAGAAGAAGAAGAAGAAGAAG